GGTGATCTTGTCATTCTGCACTGGCAGCAACCAAAATTCCTGTCACAGAGGATCCCCCATCTCCTTTGGTTCCAGGTTTCAGCAGGTGAGAATGAGTAGCTGATTGTTGGCCTCCAGTGTCAGAATCCCATTTCTTGAGCACCTTCTCTTCAGAGGCCAGGGCAGCAGGCAGGGGGGACTGATCCGGAGAGTGTGGATTGCCACCCCCAGGCATTGCCACCCCCTTCCCCAATGCCAAAGGAGAGGGTGGGCTGCTGCTGCTGGTCCTTCATCTGCTGTGTGGGGTAGAAAGGGAATTAGCAAGCAGATGAGTAATTGGTGTGTTGCAAATCTGTGAAGTACATACTGGTTGCAACCTTCTGCAACCCCTCCCCACCAGCCCCCTCTTTTATTCCCATCTCAGAGCCCCCTGGGAAGGACAGTGCAAACTCCATGTGTCTTGGGGCCAAGAACAATCCACCCCCCACAGCCCCCCAACCCCCACTTGCTATGTCTCTAAGCCAAGGCTGGAGTTCAGCTATTCCTCTGCTGTCTAGGGATCCAAACAGAAGAGAAGAACCGGTTTACTGAGAGCCTTTGCTGAGCATCCTCTCCAGCCCATTGCCAGGCCTGCTGGCTCTGGTGTCCTCCTTGCCTCTTCCCTGCCTCTCCTGCTGCTGGGTGAGGGCGAAGGCTTCCTTCAGGCAGGCTGGCCATGTATTCTGGCCTCCTCTTCCTCAGCTCCTTGGAGAATTGGCTCCTAGTGCAGCCGGCCTTCCCTTTCCCTTCCAAGCGCAAAGCATGGCCTCACATGAACTATTCCTGCTCCTTGCTTTTAGATCAGCCACCTGCTGATCTCTCTTCCTCCTGTGTAGGGTGAGGAGCTAAGTCTTTGTCCCTTTTCTGAATGCTTTTGGTGCACCCGGGAGAGCCAGGGCAGATTAGGCCAGGGTTTCCTTCCTTCTTTCTCCCCTGGCTCCTTGTCCTGCCCTTGCAGGAGACACAGAGCAGAGGAGAGGGATGGCCTGGCAAAGGAAGCACATCTTCCAAGAGAGAATCCAGGAAATAGTTTTGTCTGGGATCAGAAGACGCATTTATGCCTGTCAAGAAGAGACCCTTGAGTCGCAGAGAGATCGGAAGGGGGAATGGGTGACATCTGAGCAGGCAGCTGGTCTAGCCTTAGTGGAATCTACCTTTTGCCTCCTTTTCCTTGGTCCTTATTTCCATTCTCCAGAAAGAAATCAGAGGCTCTTGGCTTCAAACCTGCAGCAAATGGCAGCGGGGAGTTGGGGGCTGGGGATTTGAGTAAACCCTCTCCAGTTCCCCGCCAATCAGTCGAGAAGCTCTTTGCAATATAAATGTGAGCGTATTTTAATATGGTAATTAATTGAGGCATGCCGCAGAGGGGCATTCATTGCCCAGAGAAAGTGCCCCTTCCCTCGAAAGAAATGCCCATGGGAGCAGCTCAACTATGAGGAATTCTTCTGTAATTTACAGGATGAACTGGGAGGTAATTACTTATGCCTGGCGGGCCAGGAGAATTAGTATTGACGGGTGTGTGTGTCTGCACTGGGATGGCGGTCGATGGAGAGGCTTTTACTGGGCCTGCCGCTGTCAGTTGAAATCCTGCTGGTTTTGTTCAGCTTCATATTGCTGGAGTGGCTGGAAGCTCCCAAGAGGAGAGAGGGGTCTTGGGCTCAAATCCTGCTTTTCCATGATGGACACCTGTTTGGCCACTGTGAGAACAGGATGCTGGACTAGATGAGCCATTGGCCTGACCAGTGACTCTTACTGTGCACTGTATTCTTATGTTCTTATGTGCACTGTATGTGGGTTGGACCCTCTGGCCCACTCACAGATTAGCCTACGATTTGCATACGCTTTCTGTCATGTGCAGATTTGTGATTTCTTTTGCAGATGGAGTGGAGGGCCTCAAAAGAAGTGTACATCCACACATGTAATTTTACGACAGACAGAAGGTGTACAGGTGAAGCTTTTCCTATAATGGCGTTTCCACATGAGGAAAGGCTTAACCTGTAGAATGCCTGCCTGCCACGCAGGTGAAAGGACCATGCTTTCCCCCCATGTCATCCTAAACCGAAGTCTGGGCTGCAACTCTGTGCCCACTTAACTGGGAGCAAGCCCCATTCAACGCGGTGACTTCATTCTCAATGGATGTGCACCTTTATGCTGTAAGCACACAGCAAATTATTCACAAGAAGGTGCCCTGGGGCGTTGGGTGCAGGAGCCGCAGATGTGCTGTCAGGCGGCAGGACCTGCAGACTTGAGTATGTTCATTTAGAAACCACTCGATCAAAAAGTTCCCCGAGTGGTATGCAACAAAAAATTATAGATAAAACATGAGTAAAACCAACAAACCAACTAATGTAAAATATATGTGTGATTTTTTTTAAAAAACCCCCCACAAAATTGATAAAAGTTTAAAAACAAATGTAGGCAACCTAGTTGTGTGCCTGGACAGGGCTACTGAAGCACGGAGGTTTTCAGCAGGTGTCCAAAACCATCTCTGGAGGGAGCCATCGTGGAGCCGCCTGGGTTTCGGCTGTTTCGTCAGATGCTGCCACTCACTTTTTGTTATGTGCACCACCCTCTCCATCACTCTCAGTTTGGGGTGGAGAAGTGGAGGCTGGGAGGCCTAGAGTGCAGGAGGGCCTGTGACTGGGGCAGCGGCAAGGAAGCCCCTCTGTGGGAGGCGCTGGGACGGGGGGGGGGGGCAAGTGAAGAAGCCAAGCAGCCAGTTTGGGCTGTGGCATCTGGAGGCCCCACTGGGCCCAGGGGACTTTGGGGTGCTACAGGGAGGCCTCTCCTGTCAGCAAGCGAGGCACACGGTTCAGGTTCAGTAGGAGAGCAGTTGGGGAAGGGTGGGCAAAGCCTGGGCCGCTGGGAGGACCAGGCCTGAGGCTGAGCCTCTGCTTCTGCAGTACCAAGGCCTTGGACACCATGGGCTGCTTGCTTTGCACCCCGGCACCCTTGGCCATGATTCTCTGAAAGGGGGGGTTAAGTGATGTCTGGCCTCTGATTTCCTGTACTGGTGCGTTGCCATTTGAGACTCGTTGGCTAGTAGGTGAGATTAAAATTGAGGAGAGGCTAGCCAGGCTACTTCTCCAGGTTGGTGACTCTGAGCAGCCTCCCCTTGGTGTGCTTTGCTGTGGGCTCTCTTGAGACTCAGTGGAGCACTGGCAAAGGTGCTTGCCTGAAGCGCACCCAGGTTTGGGGCGTCAGCTGGCCTGACTGCGCTAGCAGCTCTGCTGCCTGGGTGCTTAAGCAAAGTGCCACAAACCCCTCCATCTCTCCAAGTCAGGAGCATTGACTGAGGGGCCCTGAGAGCAGGTAGCTCACCCAGGTTGGTTGAAGAGAGTTGCATCCTTGGGGAGCTGAGGGTGGATCTTTCTGGGAAGGGGATCCTTTCTGGGAGCCGATGGACAAGGCTGCCTTCTGGGAGTGGATGAGGGTGGTTGTGCTCATGGGATTGATGGTACATCCTGTGGCCAGGAGGAGGAACCTTCCCAGAGGTGTTGTGCGACCTTAGGCCCTTCGGCTTGCTCCTCTGTCTATATGTACCACTACTAGAATAGAAAACCTCTAAGGGGTTTACAGCAGTGACCTGCGGCCTTATGTGTGGTTTGTGCCTCTCACCCTGAGGCGTAAAACAAAAGTACCTGTGTGTCCACCCCACATGCATATGGGGCACGCAGCCCTCCTCCTGAGCTGATCTGTCTCCATTGGCCTTCTTTTCTCTTTCCCACTGCTGCCAAAATTGGTGGGTTCTTTGGGTGAGGAGTTGGATCAGGCCTCAGGGTTGGGTTAGCCTTAAGCCATGACTTCCCCTCCTCGTTCTGCTCAGATCTGCCATACCTCCTGCCCCCCTGCTTCCCACTCTTCATCTGTCCCCCTTTATTTATCTGCCCCAAGAACGTGGGCTCAGCTGCACATTGACCCCAGCCCCCTTGCCCACTCTTTCCCACGCTGTCCTCGCCAGAGCTTTCTTGCCCTGGTCTAGAGTTGGCCAAGGCTCTGTGGCATCGGACGCCACCCTCCTGGCTGCTGTAAACGCTCCCTGCTGCCTGCTCTGGGCACTCCTCTCCCCTCCATGTCGTGTGTGTGCTCAGCACCCTGAGGCAAACTCCATGCCCCTGGCCTGCCTGTTTCTAGGGCTCTGCTGCTGTTGAGCCCTCCATGATGGAGAAGCAGCCAGCAGAGGACCCCCTTTGCCCCCACCCCACGGGGGCTGTGCTTGTGGGCAGGCCACAGGACTGCAGTTTCTTGGCAGAGGTGGGCAGGGGGCTGGCTGAGGCTGCCCTCGACCTCCATGCTGACCAGGCGTTGACATGGGGAAAGTGACTCAGCGCCTTGGCTTGGGGCTCCTGTTTCCCCCCACTCCTGCCATTTTGGGTGGCTGTGATCTGGCCTTCAGACACCCATCTGGCATGCTGGCACCTTTGGTGAGGGAGGTTTTTTTGCCACTTTTCAAAGGGCACCATGAAATCTTTTCTTCTGCCAGTTATGAATGATGGCTGTTTGCCCCCCTCAGGATGGGGATGGTGCTGACAGAGAAGCCGAAGGGCCTCCTGTGTGCTCTGGCCTCTTGCCAATGTGTCTCTGACCCGAGACATTTGTTTGCCAGCCTGGGTCACGTTGCCCTAGGATTGCACCCAGGGCCCACTTGCCACTTGGCTTCTGATGAGTCTCAGGGGCCTTGTGGAACTGGGCTGCTCAGGAGCCGCACATGGCAGCTCCCAGGAGGCCAAGGAGGAAGGCTGGGCCAGGGATCCACAGTGCTCAGGTGAAGGGGTGCATCCTCGTTTGGGGGGGGGGTTGCTGTTTTTGTGCTGCCACCCACCTTTGCTGCTCCAGACTTGGTCCTGTCTCACCAGCGAACAGAAAGTTGATCCTATTAGAGCGACTCTTGTGTTTGAGACTTAGAGTTCATAGAACCATAGAGTTGAAAGGGTCACCCATGAGGGTCATCTAGTCCAACCCCCTGCAATGCAGGAATCTTTTGCCCAACGTGGGGCTTGAAGCCACGATCCTGAGATTGAGAGGCTCGTGCTCTACCAACTGAGCTAGCCCAGCCCTGAAGAGTTGGGCTTCTGTTTTTGGTCACTGTGCTGGTTGATGTATTGTCCATTTTGTCTACGCTCCCTAGGGCTGTCAGCCGGGGGTTTCCTGAAAGAGCCCCCAGCCGACCCCCTGCCAAGGCTTGGGCACCTGAAGGGGCTGAGGCCATGGGACCTTGGGTGGGCAGAGCAGCTCCCCAGACAAGTCACCCCTTTGCAGGACCGGGTCAAGGGGCAGTGAGGCTTCTTGCAGACTCTGGGGCAGGCAGCTAAAGCAAAGCAGATGTTCTGCTAGGAGGGGTCTGCGCAGGATCAGCCAAGCTGATGTTTCTTGACCTTTTTAGAACAGTTCAATAAAAACAAGCAGTTGCCATAGCAACTACCACATTATTTGGTGCTTCAGAGATTTGCGATAAAGGAGGAGAGCTGAGTGAAAGCAGCACATGGTGAAGGCGTTTCTCCCCTTTGTGCTGCAGGCTTGAGAGTCCATGAAGACGCTGCGTGGTGCAGGGTCTGGGCGTAAGGAGCCCCTGTGGTGGAGGCAGGCAGGGGGCCTTGGTGTTTGTAGTGAGGGGATTGCCTCTCAGCCGCAGGAGGAGGAAGCGGAGACAGAGTGATTGGCCGAGACCTGCCCTGCAGGACTGATTGTGGTGCCTTTGAGGGTCGGCACCCCACAACCCTTTGCTAACCTTCCTGGCTGATGCCTCCCAGGCTGCCTCAGGTCCTTATCTCTGGGGCCAGGCATTGCCTCCCTTTGGACTCCTCGAGTCGTCAGACTTGATTGTGTGCAGCCATGGTTGGGCAGAGAGAAGCAGCATGAGCAGAAGCTTTGGCTGCTCCCTTCAGTGCGAGGGCTTGTGAAATGGCCTCTGTACCACATGCCAGAATTGGGCCTGAGCTGCGTGGCCCTGGGAAAGGTGCCTGCATTCTGGGGCAGCAGTGTTTGGGTGCCTGGAGGATCAAGGCAAAGAAGGGGACAACCTGGGGACAGGGGTCCAGAACTGATCCTCACGGGATGTGAATGAAATATTGCTGGCTGCAACTGATCTTAGGACAAGAAGAAATCTTTAATCACTCCTTGCAAGGAGGCAACCAGGAAGAAAGATGTTAATTAGAGTAAAAGATGTTGTGGCTTTTGAAGCCAGACTTCCTTTCTCTGAAGCAGGCCTCCTTTGTTTTTCCTTCACTGGAAACTCCAAAGATTTGCTTTCAGGCGTTCGGCTGCTGGCTTACTCTTAAAAAGGCAGACAGGGTGGCTCTCTTGAGATGGAATAATAAGCACCCAAAGGCTTTCCACCAAGCCTTTTGGAGAGGGCCATCTTGCTGACGCTGTTGAGCAGGAATTATGTACTTGGCTGCCCAATTTTTATTTCTGCCACAGTGAAACGGCTGCAGCTGCGGTCGGGTCTGTGGGCCTCCTGCCTGTCCCTTGCAGGGAAACCCTCTGGAAGGCTTGCAGCAGGAAGCGACAGCCTTTGAGGTGCTTGGTTGTTGGTCCCTGACCAGGATCTCTCACTTGGGGCTTACCCACACTTCCATTTGCCCCGCCACGTCCCTCTGGTGGAATCCGCTGCTGAATTGGAGCAAACGTCAAACCGCAAGGGCTCTGAGCTGTGAAGAGCACCTGTGGAAAGGGAAGTGAGAAATGGGTGGGAATGTGGGGGTGCGCCAAGCAGGGGGCGGGGCTGTATGCTTTTTGGACCATTAAGTGCTTAAGAGAGATGTTTTGGTTTTTCCTCTGCCCTCTCCTCCTCTTTGTCTGATGGAAACACCACGATGGTTCAGTGTTTAGTCCAGCAGGACTGACATTTTACTTGAGATTCTGAGATACCCACCAAGAGTGACAGTCAAGGGTAGTCCACCCCAAGGCTCTTTGCAAACAGAATGCAATTTCTGTTCTGCATGGAAATGGGTGGCTGGACTGAGCCTTGAGGGAAGGGCCTCCTGCAGCCTCTTCCTAGCATTTGCCAGCCTCAGGCCCACAACAGGGCATGTTCTGGCACATGTGAGGCAAGGGTGCCCCTTCCTCTCCAGGACCCTCCCCAAGAGGCATAGCAAGGGCTCCTAAGTCGGAGCAAGGAGACCTCCAGGTGTGTCTGGTCAGGGCACACACAGGCAAAGCAGCCAACCCAGCTAAAGCACCTGGAAGCTGGAAAAGGAGGAGGAGTTGGCCCCAGGAAAGCGAAGGCCTGAGCCAACTATAGCGCTGCAGTGGCAGCCTGGCCCTTCATGGCAGGGAGTGCTGCGCCCAGAGGAGGAAGGCTCAGCACAGAGGGTGGCCCCAGTGTCTGCTGCAGGTCCTCTTCTCTGGCGATGCACCTTGACCGTATCAGGTGTGGGGCTTGCGTGCATCAGCCGGCAGAGGAGCGCTGAACAAAGCCGGTGCAAGGGGCTGGATTGCACGGTGCTCGCTGTGCAGGCCCTGCGTGGTGGAAGCAGCTCCTCAGAGCTGTGCCTTTTCTTCCCCCTCCAAGCTCTGCAGCAATCCCTGCTGGTTTGAGACTGTCTTTGTATGGTACTGGCAATGCGTTGCCTTCTCCATTGCCTGCTTACAAATTGGCCAGCAATTTGTTATGCAAATGATCCACACTCTGCTAGCGCAGTTTTTGTGACAAAATTACAGGGTGAATGCTAATGAAGAGCCTGGGCCCTGAATCCGTTCCATTACCTTCTTGTGTGGAGCTTATTCCGCAGGGAGCTGCAGCTTCTAAGCCTCTGTTTTACAATCACTTTGCAGCCAACTATACTTGGCTCCTGCCAGGATTAACCCTGTAATCTGGTCACCTTCTTGCCACCAATTAAGCTGCTGTGGCCACAGCCACCCTGCTTCCCAAGGGGAGGGAAGGCACCGCTCACAGGGGGAGGAGGGGTTTTTGCTCCCCCCTTGGGATCAATGAGCGGGAGGCCCCTTGTGCAGCTGCAGCAGATGCTCCTGATGGTTGCGGAAGGGGAGTAGAAAGCAGATTCTGGGAGGGGCTGCTGCTCTTTGGGACCCCCCCCCGCCACAAGAGAACCCTTTTGATTTCCAGTGTCAAGGCACTGCCCATCATGCAGCAAAGCTGGCGACTCTCCATGTCTGGAGGCCCCAGATTAAATCCTGGTGTCTCCTGCAAAAGGCTCTCCTGTCACAAGAACAGTGAAACTTTGGAAACTCTTACCTACGTGAAACTCTCACATTGTGAGAGGCTTTGGGGCAAAAGGGGATTCCTCCTGGTCCCACTGCCAGCCTGGCTGGTGGGTCTGGCCTGGAAGCTGTGGTGGAGAAGGGGTGCTTTCCACTAGCCCAAATTGGGCACTCTCGGGGGTGGGGGGCTGCTAGCCCAGATTCTGTCTTTGGTGTTTCCCAGTCGTATGGGAGTCGATGAGCCCTTCTGTGTTGATGCCAGGTGGAGTAGACAATACAGGCTGGATGGCAAAATGGCCTGGCTGGAATAAGGTCCCTTCCACCAGCCCCCCTATGAGAACTGGCAGAGCCTGGCCAGGAAGAGGACCTTGCAGGCCACAGCGGAGAGCTCAGTGAAGACGTTGACCCCGCATGTGGCAGCTGTGCCAAAGGCAAATGCCCGCCAGGGATCCGTAAGAAAGAAATGGGAAATAAAAGTGCCATTGTGCAAATCTATTTAGAATACATACGACATACAGTTCTGGTCGCCTCACCTCAGGAAGGATGTTGTGGAGCTGGAAAAGGTTCTGGAAAGGGCAGCATGGGGGATCCTGGGGTTGGTGTGGCTCCCCGTGAAGAAAGGTTGCAGCAGTTGGGGAGCCAGATAGGGTGTGGAGACAAGATTCTCTGCGCTCCCTCAAGATGCAGTTATGGTTGCCAGGATGAGCGGCCTCTGGTGGGGACTCCTGCTGCCGCTTGTGGCCCCATGGTGAGAGGGGGGTGCCCAGGGGCGTGCGTTCCCTCCCCCCGCCCCTTCGTTTTGCAGCTTGGCTTCCTTTCTTGTGGGCGGCTGCTGAGGGGCCGCTTTTTTTTTTTAAAATGATATTTATTGAAAATTTTTTAGAATTACAAAAGAAAACAAGGTAGAAAAAGAGAAAGAAAAAACAAAGAAAAAACAAACCACATCAAACAATACAAATTAATCAAAAGACAAAAATATACCACAAACATTTAAAAACAAATCCATTATTCTCAAATCCTTAACTGTCATTACCTTCTTTCTTTGACCTCCTCCTCCTCCCTTTTTTTGTATCCTAGTTGTTAATTGTCGCAGCAAATCCTTTCCATATTTCATAATATTCTGTCATTACATTACCTTAATCTATTTTAATCTTATCTTACTATAGAAAACCTTAAAACCTAAAACTTAAATCTTATTTTTACCAACTTCTCATAACCATAATATTCTTACATAATTCTTTAAACATTTTTGCTAAAGCCAAATAATTTCGTTCCAACATTTTTCTAACATTCATCAGTTTTATAAAACAATCCTAATAATAAAAAAGAAATAAAAAGACAATCCAATCTTCATCCAGCGTCTCTTCCTCCTGGTCCCGGGTTTTGTCAGTCCTTTTTATCTCATCAATCTAGCGCATTAACCTGGTAATCTTATATCCGTTGCCCTTAAGTCCCTTCCATGTCCCTTTCGCGGCTCTTCTTCATATTTATAACTGTATTTTCCTTTGTCTCCTGCTCCTTTCACTCGTGGGAACTCCAGCTTAGCAATGTTTTTGACCGTTCTCGACAAATCAGCCCCTTTCCTATAGTCCACACTAAACTCCATGTGGTATTTAAGAACATGTTTCAAAGTCTCTCCAAAATTAAGAGCCCCCACAACCCCAAACATCTCACGGCCCATTGCCAGACTTGAAAAGTCCAAACATCCCTGCATAGGGGGGTCTATCCAACCCCCATTTCCAAACCAAACCAAACTTTATCTTTCCAAATCTGGCTTTTTCCAAGTTCATTTGTCAAATCCAAAAGCTCATGTTCCTGCTGGGCCACAGCTCCCTCCATCTCTGGCGCCCAAGATTCAGTAACATCCTCTTCCCTCATCTGTTCTGTCAGGG